CATTCCTCCTAATTTTAATTGCCGGTACCACTCTTCCTCTCTCTCCTTCATTTGCCACGTTTTACACCCACGTCTCTCCTCGGCGCATTTACCTATTTCTCGTGCTTTCCCCATCGAACCACCGACAACTTTCTACCAAAATCGTATAACTAATAGAAGTGTCCGGTAAGAGGAGAGCGAGTAAAACGTTTCAGCTAGTGGTTACCAAGCCCCTCGGAGCTAACAACTGCAGCCTTCTCTTGTCACACTTAGCTTACGGATTCGACGACGGCGATATATAAGTTGGATGGTTGAAACAACCCTTAGGTCCGTTTTACTGCCAAACAGAAATATTGGCCAGCCGTTAGACTATTTTGGAGCATATTTTTAAGGTCGACCTTAACTTTCGGACTTTCTTTACCCTGCCTCTTCTACGAGCAATTTTAGACGACCATAATTTCTGCGATGGGGAATATTTCTTTTTACACCCTGGAATTTTCTATACCTAGATGTCCGACGTATTGTGAATAATTGGTGTACGAGAATTGCCGTGTACTCCGTACGTTTTCTATGAAAAGTGAGGAGAGATTGGGACACGGTGGGAAAAAGATCGTGTTACCGTTTTAACCAGTTCACCGTGACAAATGGCTCTCCTCGTTTCCCTCGAATTCCAGCGTGCGTAGCAGGTATCCGAAAGGGTTACAAGCCTCATCTGGCGCACAATGGGCGAGTACCACCAGGTAGAGGCCTCACGCTTTCACGTCGGACACCCAAGGGTTAAGTATCGTAATAATTGCCAATAATCTGGCCATTGTGAACAGTTTTTCCTGCGCGCACCGTCGCCAAATACCACGTCCAACCGCGTAAAAAAAAAGGCCCGTTTCTGTTTGTTCTTCTTATCTTCGTTGTTGCTCGATCGTTGCATAATGCACGGTGAAATTAGGAAATTTTGCTTGCTAACCCTTTTCGTACTCGAAGGATAGGATTAAGATTTTCTGCGTTTCATTGTTTTCTTAGCTGCTTTCGTTGGAAGTACGAAGGATGTGCTGGTCGAGGGAAATTGTTGTTCTGCGTGAGATTATTGGCTGATTTACGCTTACGTCACAGGGACAACAAAGTTCTTCAAGTTATATCAGATGGATCGCTATGAAAAGAGATATTTTTGTATTTTCCTCGCGATTTATATAAAAGCCGACCCTATACCTGTGCGCTTTTTCACAATATTTTGTCAGGCTCGAAGTACTTTCGACGCGTACTCAATCTCTCCGGGCATCTCGCCCCTTACTGTCCCAGCGCTGATGGAATATTTAAGAATTCCCCCCTATTAAAACGCCGTTTCAGCGTAATTTCCTCCGTTTCACGCATTAGTTCACTTAGAATTGCCCATAAATAGAATTTCTCCCTGCAGTTCTACTCTAAAATTAACAATCCTCGCACCTTTCAAACACTTCATCCCCCAAAATTGTCCTCCCAATTACAAAAAAACAAAGACTTGGAAAAATCACTAAATCGCCAAAAATCGCAAACAAGATCGCTTCTGCACTCTCAAAACTCAAAACAGTCCTCGCACCCAGTACCCAAAAAAATGACTCTCCCAATTACAAAAGTCAAACCTCGAAAACTCCGAAAAGATCATCCAATACACTCCAGAAACTACCTTCATCCCCGTTAAAAAAAACAATTCCACCCGACACGATCGCAAACAAGCTCGCAAATCGCGTTACACGTATCCAAACCCCCCACCGTAGGGTGAAAACTCCGTGACCAAAAGCGCGACGCGCTCAAGAAGAGAGGAAAAAAAAGGAAACACACACGCAACAGGGGGAGAAGAGAAGAGAGAAGTGTGTCGTCCAGCAACGGGTCCGCTAATTCGCCGACCACGCATCGAGATTCCAGCGTTCGATCGGGCCGTA